TCTCAGTTTGCAAGACAAGAGAATTTTATTGAGGCAAAAGAACAGTGAGAGGTCATGAGCAGCCAGTAGTAGGGAGCTGGTCTGAGAGGCAAGTAGGGCGACCATCAGCCAAGGTCCTCTGATTGCAGTAGGTTTGGTCAGAGCATCAAGGCCTTCCTGCTCCTTAGAAGAAGCAGCCGGATGGTGAATGTTCCCAATGGTCTCTGGCTTGGGAGAAGGGATTTGCAGAAGAAGAGACTGGATAGAGCTGAAAGGGAGTGGGAGATTAGCAGAATACAGATGGGCCATAGTTGCAGGCAGCCCGGGCTGGCCTCTTGGCTGCTGCCTTGCCCTGGAAACAGATGATACCTAAAGGCATCACTGGAATTGAAATTGTTGAGCCTGTTTAAGAGCTGTGGCACAGAAATGCATCCTGAATGCCTGAGATGAGTTCCAGGGAGTGGGTGGTGGTGTCAGGAGCGGTGCTGAAGGCCCTTAGCAGATGTTTCCATAGCCCCTTCTGCCATAGCAGCCCAGGCCTCCCAGCCCGTAGCCAAATCCACGGCCATAGCCAAAGCCACCAAATCCCCCAAATCCGCCAGAGATGGGCTGTCCCTGCACACTGAGCTCACTGCCCACGGCAGCCGAGGAGGTGGATCCGACAGCGGTGTTCTGGGGGAAGGAGGTCATGATGGGTCCTGGCAGGGTGACCAGCACAGGAGAAGGCTCGATAACAACGCGGGAATCCTGGCATTGCAGGGCACAGGGCTCGTTGCAGCTGTTGGCCAGCGGGGTGGGTCCGCAGGGTTGGCAGATGTTGTTGCAGGCCATGGGTGTGGATAGTGCCTGGAAGAGAGGGAGGTAATGCAGAGCAGGGATGAGAGTTGCAAGGGGCAGTGATGGAGTTTGGAGGCTGTTGTGGGGAGACTGTGGGGAGGCGTGAGGGCTGCCAAGGCTGGGGCTGAGGGTGCTGGAAGAGAGGGGTGAGAGGTGCAGGAGCAGGAGGGTCAGGGATTGAGACTCACATGGTTCTTGGAAGAAGCAGGAGCAGATGGTGTCCGGAGAAGTGTGTGAGGGAGAGAGGCTCTGGGACGGCTTTTATGCTGCTCCTGGAGGGGCGGGACAGCCTTGTCCCATGGCCTTGGGGCATTTTTGAGGCAGCAGCTCTTGCCTGGCCCAGCCTGTTGAGTCCTGAGGTGGGGAGTGTTCTCCTTCCTGCAGTTCTGCATTTTCACGTCCTTCCCTGGGGGCCATGTCCATCTGACCTTGGCGGCTCCTCTGAACTGCCACAATTAGAGAGCAGTGTGTGGCTGTTGGTGCTGCGTGTCAGGGCACGTAGAAGGTTCAGCCAAAGCTGAGGAGAACTCAGGTGTCATCCGATGTCATTCCATGGCCTATTGGGAACATGTCCCATTTGCATTCCTGCCTCCTGCCTGAAAGAACTCCCAGTTCTCTCAGCTTCTGACTGTTTTAAAGGAAATCCCAGACCTCAGCCCTCTGTGTTCTGCCATTCTGATCCTTCTCAGGCCCCCACACCTGACCTCTGTACTTGCCCTGGATTGTTGAGGATCGTACAATACTCGCCTCCAAAAACCCTGGACAATTTCCAAACTCTCTTTCTGACAAGCAGACAATGTCCAGTGAAGTGATGTTGCTCCTCCACAGTCATCCCAAGTAAAGATCCCAAAACCCTGAATATCAAATCCTTCCATCACTGTAAAACTTCCTGTCAAGAGGAACAGCAAGACACCATCGGAGCATGACTGATGGTAAAGGTGATGTCTCCAGTCAGGCTTTGACAGCTGGGGAAATTGCGTGGAGAGAGGGAATGGGGTGGAATGGGCAACACCAGGTACTTGGAAGAGCAGCAAAGCCCAGAGCAGCTTGTCAGGGCTGAGAGAGACTGGGGGAACTTTCCAAACACACTCACAGACCACGGCAAGCCAGAGCTGCAGGGTGGCCCCAGCTCTCCAAAGCATTGGTCACATCTTCATCCTGCACCCACAACACTCAAATTTCATTTCCAAAGGGCTCACTGAAAGGCTTCTGCCAAGGCGAGATGGACACGGCCTCAAGAGAAGGAGGTGGAATCTGAGAATTCCACAAAGAAATGCCCAAGTAATGGCAGAGAAGGAAAGAGGAGGTTGTTGACCATCCGCTGGTAACTAATGATTATTTGCTAAGAGGAACATAATTCCAAGACTGAGAGGATATAAATTGTGAAACCTTTACGGCTTGAACGCGGAATAAATTAATTGACATCAAAGAGCTGCCTGGGAACCAAGGGATGGGCCCCGTTTGTTGTTCATTTCTTAAATTTCTGACAGAGGTCACGAAATACATTTTAACTGACTGATTAGGTTGTTGTTTGAAATTAGGAAATCCAAATGGACCATAACACTGTGACAAATCCGGCCTGAACAGCCACACTTTTCCCAGATACGCTCCCTAGACCTCATTCAAGACACAAGGCCAGGAGCTTCCTTTCATCCATCAGAAAACACTCNTGCACCTGGACTTGTGCGAGTCCTTTGTTCCTGTGCCAGACAACATCCTTGTCTCAAAGCTGGAGCGATGTGGATGTTGGTTGGACTATTTGGTGGAGAAGGAAAGGGCGGGATGGTCTGACTCAGAGAGTTGTGGTCAATGGCTCCACGTCCCTGTGTGGAGAATGGGGATGTGTGGTGACCCCCAGAGACGCATGTTGGGATTGTTATAATATTGAATCATTGTCAGAAATCATGGCCCTGGGATTTATGGGGACGATCAGCAAAAGCAGGGACCACTCCAAGCTGAGTAGTGGGGTTGGGTGTCTGTAGGGAAGGGATGGCAATCAGAGGGGCTGGAACAAGTTGGGAATGTGGGATATTGTCAGTTTCATGAAGCTGAACAAGGCCAAGTGCAAGGTCCTGTATGTGGTTTGGAGCAATTCCAAACATGACTCTAGGCTGGACAATGAGTGGTTTCAGAGCAGCCCAGAGGAGAAAGCCTTGGGGTGTTGGTGGATGAAGAACTGGTTCTGCCCCACCATGTGAATGAGCTGAACAGCAACTCCCTGGAGTCCTGGGCTCATGTCCACGTGATGGGCAGAAGGAGAGGGGGGGAATTTTGCCACTCTGCCCTGGTTGGGGTAGACTGGAGTTGTGTGTTCAACTCTGGTATGTGAAAATAAGGTTTACAAGAAGCAGCTTCAGTGGATCTGTAAATGGGGATGGAAGATGATGAGGGTCTGGAACAACTGTTGTCCAGCCAAACTGAACACAGCACCCAGGAGGGGCTTGTGCCAGAATCAAGGATAGAGCTGCATTGGTGCTTCCAGACCTGGGATTAAGCAAGTGAAGTTCTTCTCTGTGATGGACGCAAAGTGTGTCAGTGTGTCCCAGTGGGTTGTGGAAGTGCAGAACCAATTCCATGAGAGGCATTGGTGCAATTTTCACCCCCCACCAATGACTTGTGGAGACATGGATTTGTGCCAAGTGTTGTTGGCACTCCTTTGCCAGAAAAATGTTGAAGGCGATGTCTCAGTTTGCAAGACAAGAGAATTTTATTGAGGCAAAAGAACAGAGAGGACATGAGCCAGTAGTAGGGAGCTGGTCTGAGAGGCAAGTAGGGCGACCATCAGCCAAGGTCCTCTGATTGCAGTAGGTTTGGTCAGAGCATCAAGGCCTTCCTGCTCCTTAGAAGAAGCAGCCGGATGGTGAAGGTTCCCAATGGTCCTGGGAGACGGGACTTGCAGAATAAGGGACTGGATAGAGCTGGAAGGGAGTGGGAGATGGCCAGGAGGCAGATGGGCCATGTTTGCAGACAGCCCGGGCTGGCCTCTTGGCTGCTGCCTTGCCCTGGGACCAGATGATACCTGAAGGCATCACTGGAATTGAAATTGTTGAGCCTGTTTAAGAGCTGTGGCACAGAAATGCATCCTCAATGCCTGAGATGAGTTCCAGGGAGTGGGTGGTTNCCGGCCTGAACAGCCACACTTTTCCCAGATACGCTCCCTAGACCTCATTCAAGACACAAGGCCAGGAGCTTCCTTTCATCCATCAGAAAACACTCCCAGGCACCAGAAATTTCCTGGATTTTGTAGAGTGACCTTCCCAGGATATCAGCAGCTCCCTCAGCATTGCTGCATGCAACACAATGACTGATGGACATCCAGTGGCTCAGAACAGAGTCCCAGTCTTCACAAGGCACCAACAAACCACAGCACGAGAGTTACACCACAAAATGACCTCACAGATGACATTGCAAATATCCAGAGTTTTGGTTGTTTATTCAGCCTTCCTTGATAAACACTGAACAACCAAATCGTCCGAAAGACCAACTCCTGACAAAAAGTTGCCTCCAAGGTCAGATAGACATGGCCTCAAGAGCAGGACATGGAATTGCAGAATTGCAAGAAGGAAAAGATTCCCCATCTCATGAATCACCAGGCTGGGCCAGACAAACACTGCTGCTTCAAAAATGCCCCAAGGCCATGGGACAAGACTGTCCCGCCCATCCAGGACCTGCATAAAAGCCCGCCCAGAGCCTCTCTCCCTCACACACTTATCCAGACTCCATCTGCTCCTGCTTCTTCCAAGAACCAGGTAAGACTCAAACCCCTGACCCTCCTGCTCCTGCACCCCTGGCCCCCCTCATTCAGCATGGTCAGCCCCAGCTTCTGCAGCCCTCACACCCCCCCACAGCCCCACAACCGCCTCCACGCTCTAACACTGCCCCTTGCAACCATCATTTCTGCCGTTCCTCACCCCACTCTCTTTTCCAGGCACCCTCCACACCACACCCATGGCCTGCTACAACCGCTGCAGTCCCTGCGGACCCACCCCGCTGGCCAACAGCTGCAACGAGCCCTGTGCCCTGCAATGCCAGGATTCCCGAGTTGTTATCCAGCCTTCTCCTGTGCTGGTCACCCTGCCAGGACCCATCATGACCTCCTTCCCCCAGAACACCGCCGTCGGATCCACCTCCTCCGCTGCCGTGGGCACTGAACTCAGTGTGCAGGGACAGCCCATCTCTGGGGGATTTGGTGGCTTTGGTGGCTTTGGCTATGGCCGTGGATTTGGCTATGGGCTGGGAGGCCTGGGCTGCTATGGCAGAAGGGGCTATGGC